TGAATTTTTTTTATAATCATGTCAATGTGTATGATTAAGAGGTTAAAGTCAAATCTGAATATATTCAACGCAACTCACCTCGGTATTAGTATGTTTCTGATCAGCATCCACACTCACTTCAGTAAGAGTTTCTGTCAGAAAAAAACAACATAATTATATCGGTAAATATGCCAGCTCCCATTATTATTTCAACAACATATTTTTGGTCGTTATTTTGTTGGCTCTCCATTGCGCATCTTTTTTCACAGCTGTATGTGTACACAGATATGACGCATTATTGCAAACAATTGGGAAATGAATTAGTTTGAAAGAAGTCACATTGATGTAGTTGAAATAAATAACGGAATGCATACAATGCATTAATGCCTAGAAAATAATCTTCACTACACACATTAGTTACAACTGCACGGAATTCTTTTGTAAGAATTTTAAACAAATACAATTTTTCTTAAAAATGACAGAGCAAAATATTTATCAGAAAAATTGGTCATTATGCGTGTCTGAAGCTCTGCATCCAATACAAGGGTGCCTTTCAATTACGAAAATGAGAGCTTAGTGCCGAAATTAATTCGCACGACAAAAACTCATTCTCCCTCTGTTATATAATAATATTTATTGCATCTTTAGAAATACTGTAACAGTATTTCTATCAGTACAGTAGCAATAAAAGTAATAATAATGAAATAATAAAGAAAGAGAAAATATTATAATGTTAAGTATAAAAGTAAAATGTATTGTGTTAAATTTTTTAATAATAAAACTAAGACTAATAATAATAAAATTCAAAGCTTATCAACTATCTGTTCTTTCTTGAAAGGCTTTGTAAATAAACTGTGAAACCTTTTTTATAATTTCACAATCATCTGCACTGAGCAATCGAATGAATGTATTGTGTGCGTCATGTGATAGCAAATTAAATTCAGACATAAGTTGTTGGTGCAAGTTTCCAGATTTTGGACAGATCATGAGAAAGTGAAATTCATCCTCAATCGCATTCATGTTGCACTGTTTGCATTTTCTTT